TACAATATTGTGAAATGAAATTGTGGAATTTCTGATAAATATTGTGGACGCTGAAAATTCTAAAAATTTAAATAAAAATATTACATTGTGAAATTTCTGAAAAATTAAATAATAATATCGTTAAATGAAATTGTGAAATTTTTAAAAAATGCAATAAAAATATTGTGAAATTAAATTGTGAAATTTCGGATAAATTAAATACAAATATTGTGGGTGCCCTCCTCTGCGATTCTCATACTAAGTACCTAAGCGCTGGCAACTTGACAATCAAATTGTGAAATTTCTGAAAAATTAAATACAATATTGTGAAATGAAATTGTGAAATTTCTGATAAATATTGTGGACGCTGAAAATTCTAAAAATTTAAATAAAAATATTAAATTGTGAAATTTCTGAAAAATTAATAATAATAATAATATCGTTAAATGAAATTGTGAAATTTTTAAAAAATGCAATAAAAATATTGTGAAATTAAATTGTGAAATTTCGGATAAATTAAATACAAATATTGTGGGCGCCCTCCTCTGCGTTTCTCATACCAAGTACCTAAGCGCTGGCAACTCGAGAATTAAATTGTGAAATTTCGAAAAATGAAATAACTTGTATATTGTGAAATGAAATTGTGAAATTTCTGAAAAATTAAATCAGTAGTTTTGAATACAAATATTGATTGGGAGCTTCCTGGTCCCTAACAATTCTCGTGATAGTGTATAAAGCGTGAGAGCATTAGCCATCATAGATGTATCCCAGATGCAAGCATCCACACACACGCACACACATATCCATTTGTACAAGTATTTGTATTTGTAAGTATGCATTTTAAAGCATGCTGCAAAGTTCTGTGCAAAATATATCACGCATTCGGGGCAAACGAAGCTAAGGCTTGCAGGAAGCGGATAACCTACAGTTTCCAAAAGTGGGCGTTGGTCAAATCTAGCTCGGTAGTGGATACATCTGGAACAACAACAGCAATAATGGCACGAAACTATTTTGAGCCACTGTAGAGGAAACTTTGTAAGTCCTTGATGCTCATTGGCAGTGCAGGTCACGTGTTTAGCACAACGCATTAAAATTCTAGGAGTGAATTAGTTGCAAGGGGCAGGGACCGGGAAGAAGGCGTTGTAAAAAGTTGCATTCGCGGGAAGCGTAAGAAAAAAAAACAAAATGAAGAAAGAAAGTTTCTGCCTTTTACTTCCTATTTGTTGTTGTCCTTTGTGCAGGACATACGCTATATATTTCGTAATCTGGTTTTAGTCAAGCGTCAATGCTTGCCACAGGACTCGTTGTGGTTTCCTTGATGGCGCAAACTCCTTCTGCTTATCAGCGGCTACATTAGCTTATTCCTTTTTCCTTAACCGCACACCACAGCAATCATCCTGCCGCCCTGCTATACCTTTGTGTGGGCACGAGTATGTTCTCCGGCTTCCCTATCGCTCTAACGGGTGACAATAAGTTGGCCAACAGCTATTTAACTAACGCTACTGCTGTCAATAAAACATTAGGCAAGCGGTCTACTAGCTCCGATTCATCGACCCTATCGCCGGACAGGACACAAAAAATTCGGACCACGTTTGGCGACGTGCTTAACAGCTTAAACAGCGGCAGCTCCGCCATCGAAGAAAGTCATGTAATCTGGCCGTCCAGCCTTCTGTCCCAGTTGACATCCAACCCTGCTGAACTAGAGGGGCTGTCCCCAGCATGATAGCCAAATAGAGCCGTGGAACAAAAGCACGAGACTGCAGCTTCGACGGCTTCATTGTCAAACACACTTGCAGCTAATTAGCGCGGCATGCCCCTCGCAGCCAGCCAAATGGATACAGTGAGTAATGATAATATGCAAACAAAGAAATGCAAATTACTTCTCGCGCTCAAGAAGCAACTGATTAATGTTCTTTGAATCAAAAATGCCAAGGTCGGAACTTCTACTGCAGCTGAATTATCGAAACAGAATAACTAGAACTAGGCCTACGCATAATTAACCTCACACTCTTTACAGTACCTAGCCGCAGGAAAAATAATTCACTATGCACTCAAAATGAATTTAAGGAATAAGAATCACTTTATTTCCATCTAATAACAGCCAATTGTTGAGTCCAAATTTCCCAATTTTCGAAAATTTCAAAAATTATTGAAATCGCTCGAAAAATTCGTTGTGGCTACAGATTGAGAAAAACTATCAGCTGTATATTAACTTTATATTATAATGGCTTTTATTTGGAAAAATGTGTTTGTTAATATTTTGAATCAAATCAATAGACAAAATCTGAGAAATTTGAAACCTACTGAAATAGCTTTCTGTGGCAGCGATAATGGTTTTTCAGTTGAAATTTCGTTAAAAGAGATTTCTGTGGCACCCCCAATAGACTTTGCAGTTTTAATTTCCAGAACTGCTTTTAAAAGCTAACATAATATACTTGTATAAATGATATCGCATGCTGCCAAGCTCTTATCGGTCGACTAATCCTTGATATCAGTCAGCACAATATCGTTAATTATATACACTAGCAGTTCCGGTTAAGCTACACTCCACCGCATTGTACGGTATGGATCACCTGAATCTATTGTTGTTATATATGCTGTTTAAACTGGCTCATGTTATTGACCTGGATAGGAATTGTCAACGACATAAAAAATTAGACAGCCCCGATCACTGACCAACGGATCGGAGCCTTAACAACACATTACGTGGAGGAAGCGAGAATCCTGGAAGTGGGTCGCAGAATCGCCTGACGCATCCGATTGGAACGCCATCCTGACGTCTCAAGAAAACGCCGTTAAGAATATTAACCAACAAATCAGGGGGATAACCACATCTTTACAACAGTACTTCATAAAGCCATCATCCTCGCCAATCAGGAGAATGAAATAACTAGAGCCTGCCAACTGGCTAAAACTGGAGTGGTCAACACCGATCTACTAGACCACGGAGAAATAATAGGCAATACTCTCAGAAGTAGAGAACCTTCCCTATAAAAATGCCATCGAAGCAGTGGAATTCTCTCGACCTTCAGAACGGACCCTCGATCGGAACATCGTCGGAGACTACGTGTATCGACTAATATTTCTCTGTCCAACAATCTCCGACGGAAGACAGGTGCTACTTGAATTCAACAGATTGGTAACAGATTACCAATAAACATACGCCGTCCTGGGGAACAGTCTTTCGATAGGTAATACAACAGTTTGGCAAGAAAAGGATCTGCAGCAGTTGGAAGAAAGCAGCTGCATACCCAGACTGTTGAACCAGGAGATAGTCTAATTGGTAGATGACAGGACCATATTCTTGACTAACATCCCACAAGATTATCGTGCATTCCTACAGATTGCCATTTGCCAGCATATTTAAGTTTAGTTCAGTTTTAGTTCAGTGTGCTCTTCGTTATCATAAATTGGAGTTCCTTTCAAAAATGAACTTTACATGTATTGTACATTTTATTTGCTAGTTGCTGGACCTATCATTCGCATTGAAATCCGCTATTCAAAACAATTTAAACGTGTTCCTTGCTTTTTGTAACCGAATACGTGACCGCACACTGCCCATATCCGTACTTATGCTATACAAACCACAAAATGCACTCCATTCACATAAACTTTCAACAATTATAAAGGTATTCAAACGATTTGTTCGAAGCATTAAGAAAGTGCAAAATGATTTTTATTTTACTTGCACATACAAATAGGGATTTATTTTTACTGAATAGAATGTTTTTTAGAATTTTTTGTGCCTAATACCTTCGTACCGTTATTATTTATATTTTTTAAAAATCAACTAAATTGGTTGAATATTATGTTCAACAGAGAAATACAGACACTTTTCCCACTTTATTTCATAAATGTATAGTATAAAGAATTGTATTTGTTACGCCTTCAGGCAAGTTCAATCAAATAATTATATGCATATGTTTTATGCATACATATGTTTTATACATACATACATATCCATGCATATACAGTATATTGTATATAGTGTATAAATTTATAAGGTCCTTTTGAATTATTGTCAGTGAACGTGATATTACAATTAATGATAAGCGGGAATATTTCTGCTGTTTCCGTTTCCTTCGAAAATTCGTAAGCAACATAATGTTACTTTAATTAAATCCAATAATAATTAGTGCTATACTAATTCTGTGACATTTACTGATCAGGGCCCACTTTTAAAATAACACAATTTCCTGTGCAAGTTATTTGTATACAAACTTTGGGGGCCCCCATTTACCCATTTTGGAGTAAAAAATGTTTCAAAACGGCACCACAAATTGAAATGTGTACCCGAATTTTAGCTTCCTAGATCTATCCGTATGGACTCTGCGTTGATTACGTCGTTCAAGCTGTTTTATATACTATAATATAATACTATATAGAAGTATCACAAATAGTACTAAACCGCCACTGAAAAAGGTCTTCAGCTATATCAGGAATTTCCCTTTCAACAAAACCGGCTTTTACAGTTCGTTCAATACTCCTAGTTCCTCATCAGCTTTAATACTTTAAGCCGCTTACAATGGCGCACGCAGAGGGGTGAGGAGGGGGGTCCATTGTCTTCTCCTCAATTATTATGGCGCACTACTTCGCCATAAAATTGATCTGAGTTGGACAAGGGCGTATGCAGAGGGGGTAAACAAAAATTTCGCAATATGAAGTCGATCTCACATTCATTATTATGGTGCACTACAATGGATTTGTTGAAGTTTTTCTTTACATCATATTCAAATTATTACATCGCAAATTTCTATTTTAATGCATCGTATATTATTTAATCAATTTTGGAAACTTATTGTGAATTTATAGTATGTATTTGGTGGGATTTGTCAGGCTTTATTTTGGACGATATCATAATTTCTTTTAAGAGGTACAGGGTATACAAAACAATGTGACATTATGGTGATGCTGACCAAATTGGAAATTATTTGAGTAAATTGTTCTTTTTATTGCTAAACACTTGTAAAAATTAAAACTAGTTTAGTTTTTTGAGCAATGTCTTAGGGTTTTAACTTACAGACCGCATTTATAGAGAAAAGTATTGAGCTAAAATATTGACATGTTAGAACATGTTATAACTTTGCAAAAAATAAACATTAAAATGGCTCCAAAATGCATAAAAAAATACCTACTTTAATGAAATGGAAGACTAAAACGGGTCTAAATCGCGTAAATCCTGTGACTTGTACGGCTTTTTACAATGTTGGCCAATAATTTAGAACGAATTACTTAAATACAAGAAGCTTTACATTAATATCACCGTGACGCTCTTTTCTGTTTTCTACAGGCGCAACGCATATGTTTGTAAAGATTCGTGGGGGGCCGGTGGCTTAATCACTGGCTGGCCACTTGAGTCCTTGTGGCTGTCATAGCGAATCGTGTTGACCAGCTCATAGCCGAGCTGCTGCACTAGACGTGCCGAATATATGCTGGTACAGTCAACGGTCAGCAGCGGATACTTCAGGCGGCGGGCCAAAGCTGCCAGCTCCGTCATCAGACGTGCGCCAATGCGACGACCCCGCATCGAGACATCCACGCCCAGTGCATGGGCATGCAACGCCCGTTCCACATCGAAGCGAGCGCATACGTTGGCATCGCGCTCTGCCACAGCTAGAATGCTTAGTATGCGACCCCACTTGGTGCCCTTTAGACGTTCCGCGTCCTCAAAAAGATGTGCTGCCTCGTCGGCGGTTTTGGGCCCAGCCACGACGGCGCCTACAATGCGGTCGCCGAGCAGCGCCACCAGGCAAGTGCCGTGAGGTATATTCGACAGCAAGAAGGCCTCGTCGGCGGCATCGGGCTGCGGCGGATCGGTTCCAAGAGTCAGCGGTTCTTCGCGGTAATAATGTTCGTGCAGAAAGTCCATGAGCCGTGCACTCTCTCCGCCACTCACCACGCGCACTTCAATGCCGGCCGCTAATTCCATGCTGCTTATCGACGAGAGAGTGTTTATAGCACTTTTATAGCACGAGAGAGTTTCAATTTGTTGGCTAGCTGGACGTGAACGATCTCCTTGAACGACGAGTCGCGTGGGCAGACAAAACAAAACTGAGAGTGGCGTCGATTGTTTTGCGCTCTTGCTAGAAATATCAAAAGCTACTTCCACTTGTGAATGCAGAAGCGTACGCGAGAGGGGAATAGCTTTAATAATGCGTCGTTTACTACTTGCTGAGTATTTAAGCGGAATGCACGCAAAATACACCCCCTTTTGCGAAAAGTTACCAACGCCCTTGTTTGTACATGTATGTATGTACATATATACCACTACCATTAGCACCGGCAACTCTGTTGCTTGAGTAATAAATAAATAGTGAGGCGGCACACAAAGCACACATCATTATTTTTTGCATCGAGGCCTCTGAAGTTTTGTTGTTGCTCGCGCTCTCACAAATTTGTGTAAAAGCTTTAGCTTAGCGTTGTTAGCTGTGAACCGTTTCTACATAATTGTGCCTTTGTTGTTTTTGCTTTGCGCTCGCGCACTTGATTTTGTTTATCTTCTAATTAACCCTTGAAAAGGTATGTGCTCTAAAATGTCGTACTGCATTTGCGCATTTTAAGGGGCTCTGGAATGTGAGCAGCTATGGTTCATCAGCTGTTGGTTGTTGTGTGGCAACATAATGCTTGTTACATGATAAATCATGTCGATTGGCCCAAGAAAAAGCTGCGGTTCAAGTGCATATAGCAGCGTGGGAAATCATTTTCATTGAGACTCACAAATGTATGTATAATGGCGAATAAATTTGCCATGGGAATGAAGCTGCTGAAGTCGTCATTGCCACAAGAACGGTGCCCTCCATCTCTTCCGACAACACCTCATTTCTTGGATTGTTCGCCCATGTTCTTCTCCAGACAATCCACCTCGGCCCCGATTATTGCCTTATCCGTAAAAACTCGTATTGCAATGCAGTGATATCACAACGGAAGCAAATATTTGATTCTAGATAATCGGCTAATAATAGTTTCCAATCCATCGCAGCATATAGCTTCAGTTTCCAAAATTAAACCTAAAATATGGATCACTTAAAAGTATAAGTTTTAGCCTGAAAAATGTGAATAAAAAATACACTTTTGTTGCTTCCAACCTCTACTTTCTTAGATACATACTCACAAGATAGAACCATTTAGAACCATTCTTGGAAAAGAATATCCATATAACTAATTTTTTGCCGCTGTAGTTTCTCAGTTTAATCGAGCGAATATTAATGATAAGAATATCTTATTGCTGATAATTTATATTATTAATCATATGGAGCTGCTCTGATTGAGGAAGACGCAATAAGAAGTACCCTTTAAGGAATTACTTGAGAAATGTTTTTAAATTGAATATAAGTTTTTATTATTAACTTCCTGTAGTCGAGTTAGTTGGCATTTCTTATTTATTAAATTCCCTTTTGGACTTGCAAGCCACTTTCTTAGTCGCTTCCCTTTTCAATGTTTCCTTGCCAACATCTTTCTTGATTGCATCACTGACCACCTTCTTGGTCTTCTTCTTTTCAATACCGCCACTGATCTTCTTGTCCTTCTTCTTATTGGCGTTACTACTATTTTTCTTGCTCCTTTTTTTTAAAGCATCATCGCTTTTTTTCTTGTTTGCATTCTTTTTCTTGTTCTTTACTTTTAGGCGACGAGTCTCCTTCTTGTGCTTCTTCGCTGTAGCCTTGCTGACTGCTTCCTGGTCCGACCCTTCATTAATAGTGTTGATAATCTTGTCTTTCTTTTTTTTATTTTTGCGGCTTTTCTTAGCGCCAGTGATGGTTTTATCGCCCACTTTTAAATCGTCCGTCGGGGTTTCGTTCAACTGTTCCTTCGCCTGTTGCTTGGTTAGCTGGGAACTTTCTTTTCGAACGGACTTGGCCTTGCGGCTCTCCAGTGCCGCCTCCGTTGCTTTAATTGAAGGAGGCTTGCGCAGCCTGTAGTTGCGACCAATCAGGCAGTGGGCGCTCGGCGGCAAACGCAGGCCATTCTTACGCTTCACCCGTGGCAGGGGCACCGAATTGCACTGCTCAGTAGCCTCGGCCAATTCGTGGCGCTGTGGCGGCTCTGTGAAGCTCCTCTCCATCACCATATCTGCGGCCAACTTGATGTCGTCCAGATCGAGGGTCGGTTTGCGCGCATGATCGGCATAAGCCTTCGCATCACTCACTATTTGTGTCACATAGCCTAGTGTGGCATTCGGGTCTCTTAATATACAAAATAGGATTGGATATTGCTTTGACACTTACTATACGTAAAATCCAGTAATTGGTGAACAACACGTGGCTCGTACTCCGGTATGTTCTGCTCCTCCAATATGGCCATTACGACTAGTGCATCGTTTGGCAATAGCTTAGGTTGTTCTTCGGGCACAACCTCTTTGGCTTGTTCGGGTTCCATATCGCTCTTTTTCCGCAAATTGTCCAATTATGATTCTGCGGTTTCTTTGCTCTCGATGCGCACGTTGCAGCATTAGGTATCGATGCCTGGGAATGTAGTGCTGCAAATTGTCGAAATGCAGCCCTGCAGTGAGTTGTAAGCACATCACAACTCTTTACTTACTAATTCAAAATGTGGTGTTCCCAAAATTATAAGCATTACTGGCTGGATTAGGCAACGTATTGTCAGTTTTAAATGAAAATTGTTATAAGTAGAAATGAATTTGTGCGGTGATTTTTAAAATAATATAAATTATTAATGAAAATAGCCATTTATTTATTCACATTTATTATTAACAATAATTTCAAACATCTGTTTAGTAACAAATTGTACACGCTTTTTAATATTAGTAGGGACATTTCAGTTAATTTTTCTACAGTCAATCAACGAATCTTTACTGTGATGTAGTCTACTGGACTCTTCAACTTTACTTCGATAGATGTTAATAGACCATTCCTATTTCTTGCTGGGAGGGGGAGAGATGCTGTAGCTATTTAAGTAGCGTGCAGTATGTGTATGTATGTATGTATGTATGCATATGTTCTATATTAAAGAATATGGACTTGAATAAGACGGCCAACTTTTTCAAAAGCCAATGCGGGACAACTTAAGGTGATGTTCTTTTCACTCTGCCGTATTTAAATAAGTACACCCCTGCAAGAATTATTTAAATTGTTTATGTTTCTTTATTTTTTTATACCATATACCTGTAGGAAGCATTTCCGACCCCAAAAGGTATATATATTCTTAATCAGTACTACGCCATATTATTGTATATAAATGACATAGGACAGATCGGTGCAATTAGCACTCTTTATAAGATAACTTTTGTTTATGAAAATAACTTGAAAATATTTTTTTTTAAAGAAAATAATTGTTTTTTAAAAAAAAATTTAATAAAATCGAAGCACTTGTCATAAAGCTGCCATAGTACCGATCGGAGAAATTAAACTTAGTACAACAACTTGATTATTTATAACAATTATTAGCTCTTTAAATAGCATATAATAAATGAGTGATTGGTTAACTAAAATATAAAACTTAGAACAAGAAATTGTAAGATCATATTACAAGTTTTTCTTAGAACTTTGATTTTTAAGACTTGACACATGGATAACTAAGCTTTGACAGCGAATGCTGGAAATTACAAGAGCTCTAATAAAATTTCTTTAGTGAGGTAGTGGGGATAAAAACAAAGGCGCCCTCTTTCCGGACTTGGGGGCGGCTGCATACCTAGATTGGGGATTCTTCCTTCTACTGTACTATAAATGACAGACGGATGGATGGAAAGACGACCATATCTTAAAGTCTCAAGAATAAAGAAAGACCTTCTGCTGTTATAAAAGCCAAACGATTTAATAATATATTATAGGGTTAGTGACACTAAACTTGTGGTTGCGAAGAGGAAGATTAAAGCGCGCTTGCCACAGCCTTGTGCCACTCAAAAGTCTGGCTACTAACGTCTACATAGAACACCAAGCATAGTGTCCTGAAGGATGTAACAGCCAAGGTGAATTAATTTTAAAAGTCATGCCATTGGACAATGGGAGGTAGTTGCTGCAAGGTTCTCCGCGCTGGACATCGAGTAATAGCAAGCGACAGTCACTTGGCCTAAGGACATCAATGGATAATGCTATTAGAGCCTTTACAGGTGCAATTGAGCATGTGAATTTGATACAAGCCATTTCTCTTGTGCCGTTGCCAACCATAAACACTCCATTCGGTTATTGCATTTGTATGGCATGGGTTTCTATCGTGTACGTGTGTGGCTGTGCGCCTGTGTTTGTGAAATAAACACCAAGGTCAGAGGGCAGACGAAGCGCAGCGTGAAGGACAGAAACTGCAAATGTCCAAGCACATCACATAGAAACAAAGAAATCTGTACAATAAAAGCATTAAGCTCATTGCTCTAAATAAATAAATATAAAATATATATATTGTATACATATTATGTATATATGTATATAGTATTGTAAGTATATATGTGTGTGTATAGTTCTTACAATCAAATGCGACTGGCCACTGAGGCAAATGTCCTTGAGCATTTTGTGCCAAATGCACAAACGACACGCGACCCGCCGACTTGGCGACTCAGCGACTCAGCGGCTCGGCGACTGCGACTCCCTGAGAGGTAACAAAAGCTTGCTACCAACACACGGCCCGCAGACCAATTTACGCTTAAAGCCATCTACGCTTTATACGCCTCATGGTGGCTGCAATCACTCTCTCCCTCTCTCCCCCTCCTTCTCCTCCTCCTCCTCCTCTCACTCACCGTCTCACAGTGGTCGGTCTTGTATGGAATAAGCGGCCAAAAATACTTACTTATGTGGAGCTATCGTACTGAAACTTTCGGCATCCGTAGTTAGATAGCAATATTTCAGATCGGACGACTATATCTTAAAGCTCCCATATAACTGACCGATTCAGAATAAGCTCTAAGTTCATTTTTTTGTATTTTGTTTCCGATTTGAACTATATTTGTTTGTATTGATTTAAAGATCGCACCTTTATATCATGTTGCTCCCATATAACGAACGTCAGTGGTCGGTTTTCTTTGGAATCGACAGCCAGAAATACATCCAGCAGAGATATTTAAGTAAAACTTTGGTTGCAGCTTTGAAAAATTTTACTATGTAATAAATCATAAAATGGTCATATTGTTTTCAAGTCATATTTCATGAAAACAGAGAATTTAAAATTATTAACAAATTAAAACCGGATTTAAGTAATACTCGTGTTGATTTATTCTTGCTTGGTAATTGAATGTAATGTAGAATTTGAGTAAGTTTGCATTAATAAGATTGTACAACATTGATAAATATAAAAACAAACATTTAAGGGAATAGGAAATAATATAAAAAGCAAAACAATCAAAAAAAAACAAATCAAATATAATCAAACAGCCGGACAAAATTCAAGCACAGAAAACAGCAGAGAAAAAGCGGCAAAAAAACATCGAGGCAGCGTTGCTTTACTGATAATACAAAATACTGCAAAAACTTGCAGCTGAAACCGACACTATAGAATCTAGAAACATTAACTAATATTAAAATGCACGTTTCATTGTGCCGAACGAAGCCTAAGATGACTTTAGCTTTAGCTGAAATGTAACTATTGGTTTGTATGCAACACTAACAAAAGCACTGGGAAAGATTAATTTTTAAAACTAAATCACAATAAGTTATAACATAAGAATATATTAGACATATATTTATTAATTTGCGCGATAGCTATTGATTTAATAATTTAATTTAATTTTTCAAATAGGACTTCACTTTCGAGTCCCTCACACTGCAAACTCAACCTGTTAAAAGGCTCTCTTCTGAAGCAATTCGTAACAAATACAGATGGAATAAATAAAAAACTTCTTTACCGTTGCATTGCTGGTTCTTTTAGGAGATAGTGCTGATACATTTGGTGGCAAAATTCTAACTTTGATTTATTTATTTTTGGCCTGTGGAATCGACCACTGTGCGCCTGCCTCTTCACGTCGCACGCAGCCCCTTTTCAAGCCCTTACTACAGCGCACACCTTCCCTGTGTGTGCGCTCGCGCGGCGAAATGGTAACAGATTCGCCGCAAAGCACTCGCCGCATTTCCGCCAGCCATGAACAGTTTAAAAGGAGTCGCAGCAGAGGCGAAGCCAGCAGACCATTTCGCGTCGTTAGCAAGTCGGTTTGGCACGATTCGATTCGATTCGATTCGCTTCGCATTGCCTTGAGGGGCCAGCGCCAAAGAAACAGTCTAGGACCAATTGTTGGCTAACTTTTCCGTTCGTGCTTACCATTCATTCATTCAGTCTTGTGCTTTGTGTGCGGTGTGCGTCCGTGTCCGTGTCCGTGTCCGAACGAATTGTGTTGTAGCCATAGCGTCGGGAAATTGACCAAAAGCGCCATAATTGAAGCATAGCCAAGGCGATAAAGTTTCCAAATTGTTTCATAATTTTTTTTTATTGTTGTTCCTGTCGTTGCTGTGGTTGTTATCATTGTTGTTGTAGTGCAATTAAGTCACTTGGAACGCAGAGGGAGGATACAGCACATCAGGATCGAAATGCTGCCGCAACAGCAGCTCCTTGGCACCACCAAGCTATGGTTTCTGCTCCTGCTGGGATTAGGACTTGGCATCCTCCGATGCGATGCACGTGCGGTAAGTGTTCACGCGTTGCCAAATTTGAGGCAGCGGGCACTGCAATCAGTTAAGTGCTTCATCACCATGCAAAGCCAATTCTTCACATGCTCATTACTCGTAATACTTATGTACTAATTACATACACATTTATTGTATTGTACTTGGCGCGAAAAGCATAAAATATAAAAAGTGACAGAGCACATTTAGCACAACAATTAAGTTAGATATGTTTCCCAATAACTTTACTTTTTTCGCGATCCACCTTTTTCAAAAGTTTTGCATGTGGAAAATTGAATTTAGCTTCAATAGTCACATAACTACTTGTAATATCTTGATTCCAAGCAAATATCAACATGTTGCTCTGCTCTACAAATACCCGTATAGTAGATGAAGGGGTCCAAGAATTCAGACTCAGCCAAAAATTAAGGTTTTAAGGATGTAAATAAAGTGTTTTGGTGCACTAATCGCTTCGCTTATCGGTCCAGTTAGTAATATCGTTAAGAAATGCCTAATGTTGGTTTACAATCAGCAGCGCTTGTGTGAGCATTTAATGTGATGTTGCAGTGCGGCCAAGTTCCAAAAGGCATTGTATTATTCTCTATATATAGACATATCTATATAGTGGCGATACGTGTATTGAAGGGACTATAAAGATCCTACATTCGAACTCGACCTGCAATCGATATATGTACACTTTATATTCTTTATTCATATTTATATATAAGTATAATAACCATAACATAATACTATATGTAAAAACCATAATTCTAATTGATTAAATTCTTGCGCAATTAAAAAAAGACAATTCCATCCATTTATGCAGGTTTTTAAAATTTTGATATGAATGTTATATACTTGTATATATGTAGTTTATTTTTAATATTTATTCAAAAAACCCTTATCATTAGTTCCACTCTTAATACGCTTAGGCATACTTTCTTCAATTTTACAAAGTTTATCCAAGCCCATCGATGCAGTACTCTACAAAATTGTAATATGGAGTGAATGTGGGCTTGAAAATGTTGGCTGCTTAGATTCTTCAAGACTTTAACTGTGTGCTTGAAAAATGAGAAATCTAATAAAATTAAAATAATATCTAATAAACGCTTCCGACTCGGTTGGGGGACACTATTTGCCTTTCGGCTACCTCGGCCCCGACTTACAGCCAAGTGTAGTCAGAGGCGTCAATAGATTTATGAAAAAAATTAAAATCTTAATAGAGAAAAGAAGCTTAGAATTAATTAAAAGCATTTTAAAAAAATTAAATTTAAATTTTTTTAAATATGTACCAAAAATGGGGAAAATCTCCGTTTTGGCAGTTCTAGATATTTGGAAGATCTTCGATATCGATATGAAAAACTTATCGGCATTTTAACAATTAAATTAAAAGACAAAGCCGTTTTTCAATTGAAATATTAAAAGCTATCTCACTAAAGAAACAATAAGTGTTGACCTAGTTTACGCCAGCAATTGCGATGAGATCGTCTGACTTCGGGACAACATCAATACGCATTAAGTTCCATGTATCCTGAGTGTCATGCCTCCGTACCTCTACGTACTTGATGGCTAAATGTGTGAGCTTCAGACCGCTTTAAAACGAATTGTTGAGTAACTAATTGAATGTGAAGTACATGGCATTTAAATGCATTCCATTTGCACTTTATAGCTTTTAATTAAGTAAATACTTGTAGAGCAATGTAAGAAAGACACACCCGACACATCAATGCGAGGATGGACATACATTTATTTATACTTTTTCAATTACATTCATTTACGTGGGGTTTGTGTTTGTGTTTATGCTTTTGCGTGCAATAAAGAGCTGAACCAATGCAGCAAAAACAACAATGGCTGTTGGCAATGAACAGAGATAACATTTATGGCTTTAACTTCCTTTAGACCTTACCTATCACTCGACTTGTAGTTTTTATAAGATGTTTAATAAAATCAGAATACCTACCGAGATCCTTGCCTTCACACAGAGGAAAAGGCAGGAATATAACTTGCAGAGTCTGCCACGCCTGCTTCTGGGAGTAATATAAATTCGCATTAAACTTGTATATCCTTTTATTCTTTCGGCTGCTTAAATAATGAAATATTTTAAGTTTTCTTTCTGGCATTAAAAAACACCTAACTATCGAAGTAAGAAAGGTAATTGGTTTTAATTAAACTTTTTGTCTGACCACATAATGGACAAACATCTCCTATTTGAAGGACATGCCGCCTTGCAATTAATTAATTGTTGTTGTCTGTAAATTGTTGACCCTGAGGATTTCGATAAGTGGGCGACTTGCCTGCGACAAAGTTTGTTACGAGTAGCATTAGGCCGTCGGCCGAATCCACTTCAGACGCTTCACCGAAGTTAATGCAAATATCTTTTGAAAATCTTGAAAGCGGGTCAGTTCGAAGGAATTTTTTTTGCAATCCTTGACCCGTTCTATCTAAGCCATAAATTTAGGTATTGGCGTTATGAAAGAACGTGCTTCTTTTCAATTTGACTTGAAATTATTTTATTGACGTAACAAATAATGAGGCTTAGCCGTACTGCCCTGAATTCAAAAACCTATGCAATTAAATCCTTGTTATCGTAATAATATCAACAAGTTTCCTTTTTATATCATATTGCCTTTGACATTAGTTTATTTGTATAATATTTATTGAAACAAGTTTTTTTATACGCAATGGCAATTTTTAAACACAATGGAATATAAAATAGGTTCAAATTGAAAGACAAAAACTCAAATTACACTACTTTACTAATTCAATTACTAAATATATGGGATATCATATAGTTATTTTTTATCTTGAATGGTCCGCAAACACTGAGCAAAAACTCTTTAATTTTTATGTTTATTTGAAATTCAAATAAAAAGTAAATATCTCCATTTCAGGGTTTTTAAGGCGATTACATTTTTTATCAAACGTCGATCTAGTGATGATATTGGACTTATTGGCACCTGCATTTGATATTTCGAAATGATTTTATAGAAATAAAACAGAAAATATTGTACTATAGGAGAATTAAATATTTCTTACATAAACAGATGTATAAAGTTCAGTGTTTGGAAGGCTGATACATTTTTTCTCAAATAATATTATATCAAATAAAATTGTATCAAGTAATATTATATCATATATTTATTGTCAACTTCGTTTGGTTTTTAAAAACAATTTTATAGAAAATTGTGTACTATAGGAGAATTAAATATTTCTCAAATAAGCGGATTCATAAAGAAATGGGAGACAATCGAATGATTTTAAGGGATTTCTTTTCTCGATCAATTTATTTGCTGCTATGAGAACAGAGCTGTTATTTAAAAAAATAAAGCATTTTTCGAAAATATTATTTAATTTGCATACGTGATAAACCAATAAATGGGAGCAAAATTCCATACAAAAAAAAAAAAAACAGTAAACAAAATCTTTTTGTAGCTACCCATAGTTACTATTTCTGATTAAGAAATAGAAATCAATTCATACTTTGCGTCTGCTGGGTAGCTATTTATCTTTTGAATGGAACTTATTTTCTCGTTCAGATTGCAGATGTGATTTTGTGGTAGATCGCGCTGATGGGGAACAAGCAGATTTTCCATTTAAATATTGGCTTCAATATTTTCGCTGTCATCGGACGGCAACAGACGCGTGGACGCCTGGACGGCTGGACGCTTGGACGGCTGGTCCGACAACTACTACACCAGATTTGTTCGCTGTCTCTCGCTCGTGAGGCCTCCTGGACGCGTTTTATGTGGGAATGTAGTCACGAGCTCCAGTACCAGCTCGAGTACGAGTATGTAGGCAAGGAACTGAAACTGAAATGTTTTTGTGGCGGCCGCTTGTCCCAATTTGTATGCGCAAAGTTGTGTGTGACTTGAGTAAATGAAAAATGTGTGCTGTTGGTTAGCTGGCGAAACTTTTTTGGGGGCAAACGTCGACGTCATCATCATCGTAGCCATCGCGTCGTCCTGCTATGTATAATCGTGGTATTGCTTTAGCTTTATCCTTTCACTTGGCTGTGTGACGGTCCTAGTATAACCTGACCCCATTTGTGTAGCTGTGGCTTGCTTCCTTCTATCGCCGTCTTGGTTCACCCCTGCCTCTTGCTTCTTGCCAGCACATAGGACAGTTCGGCCCGCCCCTAAATGTTGTGAAATGAATAATTTCTGAAAATGTACTACACAATTTTATTCATATAAATCACAAATTAAATAAGTTTTTACGAGGTTGTTCTGCGGTTACAGCCCACAACAAAAGTTGCTTGTGTTCCTATTCTTATGCTCGCTCACGTCGGCCATAGCTATTGGTAGATTGTTGGGGTCTGGGTTTGCTGTTTCAGCCAAAGTTGAGGTTGTTGTTCAAGTTTGTGGCTAGGCTCGGTCTTTTGTTGTTGACCATGCAGAATAATTTAGATTTAAGCGTTGTGTTTCTCAATTTAGCCATCCCTCTTGTCAGAGCTGGCTCGCACTCTAGCTATATAGTATAGTATATGTATGTACTACCTATGTATATTCACACAGCTATTTGCAACAATGCCTTAAATCAATCAACACATCAAGTGTGGCAATAAAATGTGGCATGTGTATTTATTTATAAACATCATATTTTCTTTCTCAGCCCGTAAACATATTTCTATTAAATGCCAAAACTAATCTATGTATGCTAATTAATGCAACAAATATTATTAAAACCCCATGTAGTGTAGACTAGTCACTAGGCATGAGTCGTTACAGAATCTTCCCAATAATAAGAGCTATAGTAATATATTCAATCGCATTCCCTTGAACCCGAAAAAGAACGAGCTGTGCACACCTAACTCCTCCGCTAAAATTTTTTAATTCTAACAATAATTTTACCATTGCGATGAGCTTGATTTGATACTTGTATAGCCCAGATTGGATATAGCCACATGCTCTTCTATCTGTTTCCATGCAAAAAAGTCTCAAAGTTGTTAAGCTATAGCTGTGATATTTTCAATGGAAATAAATTCTTCGAGTACATGCTTTTGTGATTATAATAATATATAA